TTTTTTTTGGGGGGGGGGGGGGGGGGGGGGGGGGGGGGGGGGGGGGGGGGGTTGTTAACATAAGACAAGAGAGGGAAAGAGAGACCTTTACTCTCAGCTGCAATACAATGAGTAACCGAATTATTCAAATTCATTGAAAAAGTACCACCATTTTCAGCCACCATCTTGTGCAAGGAATCGAGGGAAATGGATGAAGGTACATTTACAAAGTCTATACGTGTCAAGGAAGATCAGATGATACAATTCTCAAGATAACTCAAGTATCAAAACCTACAGATCATTTATGGATGCAGCCAATACGCTGGTTGATATTGGGCATTCTCATCTATAAGACCGCAACTATCTATTAGAGCTAGTTCAGTTTCAAGAATCAGTAGAAGCCTTAACTAGTTAAGAACATCTTTAAGAGACTCTCTAAATATAAAACATTCTTTATTTTAGAGAGTCAATACTTAAAAATGAGTTCTAAGAGACTCTATTTTTAATATACAATGATTACATTTAATAAATCACATATTTCAATACTCTACTTTTTAAACTGTTCAAACCACATTTAAATTGATTGGTCAATAAATATATAAAAAATTATATTAAATAAAAAATGAAGAGATATCAATAAGGCCATGTTTGGTCCAGATTAAAATTTGATTTTAATCCAAGTCAAAGTCAAACAATCAATATTAACCACATCTTTCATGGGTCCCACAACTATTCAACCACACATTTCAAAAACTTCTATCACAATCTACTAAAAATCAAATTTTAATCTTCAACAAACATCCTCTAAATGTTTTTTGAGATAACCAAAATGAAAAGCCAAAATAGAGTTTGTTCGAGTGTATAAAAATTTTGACTCTCTAAATTTAAGGATGCTCTCTATAATACATAAGATGCTCTTTAGAAATAAAGAGTTTCTTGGAGATGCTCTAACTCTCTAAAATTGCATAAACTGTTGCAAGTCGTCCTCATCACAATCTTCTGGCCAAATAAACCCTACAGAACTTACATGGTTCACATGTGACCCTACTATGGGAAATTTCCTCTTTTTCCATTTCTCCTACCCAAGTAATTCATACAACCTTAAAACTTACTCTGTCTACCTGGCATGAAACTGGGGTCCATATCATTCCAAATCATCGATGGTTCTCCCAAGGCACACATTTTGCAAGTTCACAGGTTATCCAACCCCACATTGTTGTCTCTTGTGTGGGAAACATGGAAAAAGATGAAAAAGGCCTTCGTTTGGTCGCAGTCATGTGCAGTTTTTCTCAATCTATTTTGGGAGGAAATGAAACAAGAACAACTCGCCATCAGTTCAGATTGCAGGCGAGAACCTCTAGCAGTTTCCAATCAGCCATACAGCAGTGAATTTGTTCCTGTCCCTGTACTCACTGCCTGTGACATTACAGGATTAGCCATGCCAAAATTTTTAACTTCTGTGAAAAGACGGATGGCAAAGGTAGTAGGGCTAGTGACTGGCAAAGTCACAACAATGGCCTGAAAGATATTTTAGAAGCTTATAAAGGTCTATATGAGATACTACCAATGTCATGGCATGCTTAATTATCTCTTACCTAGCTATGTCATGCCTATGACAACATCATTTGGAAGGGCAAAGTGCTATTTACCTTCAGGAATTGCAAACTAAAAGTTCAATTATTATCTCACATCACATGAAGTATTACCGACTTGAAAAACTATCAATTCAGAATAAGGGTCTGTGATGAAAAGTTTTACACTAATGATTTGCGGTCGCCAAATGAATTACACTACGGATGACAGAGTTTAGGATTGTGAGAAAAAAAAAGTAAATAATGATAATGATGACTGTGACCATAACCATGATGAGGAAACAGATGTTGTAAATGATGATAACCATAGGATACAAAATGTCAGGTTCGATAATATTGATGTTTCACCCTTAACTTGAGAAACATCAGTCTGAACAAAGTGAGAAGGAACAACAGAAACGTTCTTCTTTTCTATTTTTAACAACTTCGTGCGTGTCGGTTTATTGTCCTGCACAGTTGCATTATCTGGCCCTCTTTGAGTTGTACCATTGCTTGAATGTACTAATTCAATAAAAGCTGCAATTGTTAAAAATAGAAACATGTATAAAAATCAGTTTTGGCAGGTGACAATATAGTAACACCAGAAAAATGCAATAAAACTGACAACCAAGAATGCAATTGATCCGCTCACATTGCACATCAAGACATTCGTGCCAAGGCTTGTCATATCTTACTCGATCAATACGTGGAAATCTCAAGCTGTATGGAGCAGAAAATACCTTGATAAACAGAAACGGGAATCAATACACATTTATGTGCTGTTCATTGAAACATGAGAACTGGGAGGATTAGGATATTATTGCACAATCAGGTTGGACAATCTCTCTACTAGTCACACCCTCTTATATCTTATTGGCTTAGTACCAGTGGCATTATAATATATTTTCCCTGCACCTAAAGAAGGAACAGAAAAGATGCACTCGTTCTGGAACATACCTCAGATCTAATTGTTCGGATATCACTAGTGATAGAAAGTATAATTGATCTGCAAATACAACAGAAGGGTAAGACAACACATCTATGTAAACTTAATTTTCTTGTACTATCAGTAGAAAGTGTGCTCACTTCTCTGGGCTTTCAACCCAAACATCTGGTCTCTCCTTCGAGTTATTTGTAACTTCATAATAGCTTGGCGGTGCCTTTTTGGGATACTCGTATTTCCTGAAAAAGAAGACGTTTTTTAATAGATGTGAGCCCCACTCGTTTAAAGGACATTCGTCCCTAGACGGGGGATCTTACTATAAGATACCACAAAAGAGAAAAATCGCGAACTCTTAACGGACTATGATCCAATTCTCATTACAATGCTCATTGCATTATTAGACACCTATGTGAGCAACAATCAACGAAACTTGTTAAAAGACAATATATAAATGATATACAAGTGCCTCTCTCTAATAGTTAAAGCTATTAGATCAAGTGTTTTAACATGGTATTAGAACACACAAAGGTGTTCAAGTCTCACCGCTACCCATTTAATAAAATTATGCTCATGGGAAATGATGAAGCCTGCCTACACGAGGGAAAATGTTGAAAATAATATTTAAATGATATAATGTTGTCCTCTCTAACAGCTTAGGGCATGCTTGGGAGTTTTTTTTAACCGATTTTGGGTGGCACCGTTTGTGAGGGATTGGAAAAATCATTGCTTGTTAGTTTTTTTGGGCACCCAATGTAGTGTAATTTTTAATGATTCTCTCAACACACCGAATCAATGGGTTTTGACCGTTTCTCACTCTTCTGATCTTTACCCTCTATAAAAGAATTATTTTCAACCAACATTTTTTAATCAAAACTAACTTATAAATAAAAATATATTAGCTAAAAAAAATTGTTTATAAGCAAAAAATTAAACTATAATAAAAATATATACTTTTAAGTAAAATATTACTTAGCGATTTGTGTACCATTATTTCAACTCTTTTTTTTTCAAACTCATTTTCAACCACACATTCTCACAGTAAAATATTTTACATGTAAATCCAAAAAAAATTTATACTTTTTAACTACACATTCTCTAAAAATTCATTATTCCAAAACTCTTTTTCCTACTTTAATGATAGACAAGCAAGAGCTATAAGATAAAAAATCACTTTCATGTAAAAAAAAATGTTTATAAAATAAAAATACTACTAATAAAACAAAATTTCACTTACAAAATATAAAAAAGTTACTTATAAGTAAAAAAATTCGCTTAAAAATTATTTAAAAGTATAAAATCAACTTATAATTGTAAAGTTTACTCATAAAGTAAAAAATACTAACTTGAAATTTTAATTAAATATTTAACTTTTTAAGTTAAATATTAACTTATATGTAAAAAAAAATTACCAATAAGTAAAATTTCACTTATGAATAAAAAAAATTCATACAAGAAAACTGAAATTTCACTAAGGGATATATATGTAATTTTGTTCTTTTGAGACTTTCTAACAAGCATAAGTTGGACTGTTTTAAAAACCGCTACTAAAACCACTCAAAACTGGTCCGCTCATAGGCACTCAAAATTGATACTTTAAAAAATGTTCATAATCAATGCCCAAAACTCCAAGCACGACCCTTAAGCTTTTAATCAAGTGGTTCAACAAAACCTAAAAGACTTTGGAAGTTCACAGGTTCTTCCACAAATACTCATTCCAGTCAAGTAGTATGGAACTGCCCCTAACATACCAATTACTTATGAAAAAAGTTCCACGATAGGAGTTATACATAAAAACAAGGTTTTTCATGAAAAGAACTATATGGAGCCATAGGCCATCAATGAATTCAATCCTTAAAATGGTCAACTGATAGGTTTTTCACAAAATTTACAAATCAAACCACAGAATTAAATGATACCTAAAATAAGGTTTCAATTTGGTCACAACAGTATTAAGCTCCTCATCAGTAAGTCCTGTACCCACTCTGCAAAATGAAACAAATCTGCAATAGAAGAAATATTAGAAAGCACAAATAAACCACATTTATATGAAAACTAATCATAATGCTGATCACAAAGTTTCAATGCACAGAAGTACTGAGTGGACATTATTATCACCAAAAGTGACTTATGACTTCAATATAATGATGGATGAATAGACCTTATACTGGTTAAGGGAACTAAAATATAACTTCGATGAAATGATAGATGAAATAAACCATATATAGGAAAAGAATCTAAAAGCATCCATGACTAAATAAAAGTATCAAATAACAATGCATAGCTGATCCTCATCGCTTTGTATTGAATGTAAAAGAGGAAACAATGTGATGCAGAAACTGTTAACAGAAGATTAGTCTGAGGCCAGTTATGAGCAACAAAGAGTATCGATACCAAGATATTACAGCACCCAATCATGAGACCAACTTTTGAGACGAACATGTGAGCCAGTGATTCTAAACATTTAGAATTACACTACTTGCTATCAATTATCATTCAATTGATTAAGGGAGCACAAAACAAACATATGTATATGAACAAAATAAAGTGTCTTAAAAAGAACAAAGGAACAGAAAGACCCAGTGTCGGTTTTAACTACACATGTTCCCATATCCAAGACAATAGATGATGCAACCAAAATTTGTACGAAGTCCACAAAGAAACCAATACCAGAGAAAATGTACAATCAAGATGGTGACCAGCAACTATATAGGTGTGAGTTATCGAAATAAACATAGTGGGGAATTAGTACATCAACTTGATATTTACACACCCTTGCAAGCAAAATAATTTAAGACTTTAAGTACTTACCGCCTTGGATATGTGTTTGGGGCCGGACGCTCTGCAAGCCCAACAAGAAATTGTGCTACCTTCAAGCATGAAAGAAAAACAAAAAGTTTTTTAAAAGAATGAGATTGCCGAAATTGCAAGCAAACAATGGTATTATCACCTCCCCTCCACGGCGCCCAGAACCATAGTAGCCTCCTGAGTGAAATGATTAAATATCAAGCACAATAAAGCAATCACTCATATGGAAAAGAAGTTGAAGCATAAATTCCAACCTATGATGAGAACATCTAAATCAGAGCCAGCTCTAATATACTCAGGCTTTAACTTTAGCCACTTTCCACTTCGATCACTAGGTTCCCATTTGGAGCTAAGATCTTTTAAAACAATTCCTTCGTCCCTAAGATTAGAAAATGATTTCAGGCATAAGAAATTATAGCCAAAGGAAAACAAGGTTCAGACAAATACCATAAACAACAGCTACTAAAGATGAACATAATCATCACCAGAAAATTAAACCAGTTATGTTTAAAACGCCTTTCTCTCTGTTTCGTCTCCACCTGGGCATATTATGCCATGGCGGTTAGAAACATAGCAATTACCAGAAACCACTCCCTCCAGTTGTTTTTCCTATCCTTTCACCTTTTTCCCACCCTTTGTCTTTGACAATTAGCCTGTAAATTTCATTTTAAGAACACTCACCATTGAACTGCAAGGTGGATGAGCTTATTTATACATTCAAGTAAGTATAAATCATTTGAAAGGCAATGTTTCATTTTCCTTGAGTTTGTAGATAGTTGTAAAAAAAATTCTCGCCAAAGCAGAAACTCCAACTCATTATCCCAAGAGTGGCTCCACTTCAACAAGATCATTTAAACATTTGAGGTACCTGGGTGCAAAAAATCATCTGATCCTTAAATGGCCAACTTGCTAAGCGATCATTCATAAGAAGATGGTTTTGCATTCAATGTACTAATAATAATCTTGGGCATTTTTTCCAAGCTTACAAGCGCTGCACATGGATGCTAGAAATGAAATCAGATTCTTCTTATTTGTCCATGTTATGGTGAAAAATGGAACTTCCATTGCTGTTTAATCAGTAAGTTGATTAACCGTTGCAGTCGATCAAAATTCAGGTTCAGAGAGCAATATATCAGAGTGTTGGATAGTTTCTATCTTAAGTAGAGTCTTGAGGTAACTTCATCAAAGACGGTCATCTTTTTCACTTTCAGGTGAGTTCATCTGTAGTGCATATTCTCGATATTTGTTGTTTATGAATTTCACCTTTATAAAATTTGAGCTTCAACTATAACTAAACATACAATTTCAACTTCGAAACTTTGGAAGAACCACAAAAGCAAAGTCAAGATCTCACGTTGCGATGCTCTCCCACAAGGTTTGATCACATATAAAAATACGGCATAACCAACTATTATGGACATGCTCAAGCATAAGACTAATACTTTAATATATATTGCTCCTGAATATAAATGTTATGTATGAACACAAGAAATTATTTTAAGAATCAAAAGAAAAGTTAACTGAGGTGGATAGAAGAATCACTAACCTGTTCTCAATCGTTTCTTTGAAAAATCTCTCAATATCGTCAACATTGCGAGCAATTATTGACCAACATGGTTCCCCTAGACCATAGTGCAGTTAAACAGCAATAAGTAGCAACAGAACAAGAAACAGGCAACAAGCAATATTAGAAACAAAATTTCAGTACATCACCACGGCTAACTGCCTTTCAGGACTGAAATCTCTTGCATGCTTTGGCAACATAGTCAGCAGCAATTTAATAGTAATGTTATAATAAAGAAGTTACTGTTCCATGTAACAGTTTTTTCTGTCAATTACTTTGAATGAAAAACCCCACTGAAAATAGCAAAAGCCACAGGCACAATCAGCAATTATGTGCTGCAGCAGGCATTCTCATAAACACAGAGGAAGAAAGTTACAAAACAAGAAGCAGAAATCTATTGAAGCTTCCACACATACAAAGGTGTTCTTTTACTAACAGGTGGCACCGTGGCAGCATTGAGGCATAAACAAGTTGATTAAACCATACTTGAAAAGTTAAGAAAACATGCCGACAACTCTGCACTCCGGTGCGCAAAACTCAACAGACACCATGTTTTACTAAATAAGAGGGATCACGTCCAACGTATTCATGGGCATCAGAGCACAGAGACTGCGAGTAAACAAATATTATAAAGAAAATGTACAGGAATTAAGCTGCTTCTGAACAATTTATCCTTCTTTTTTGATTCGAATTTACCATTCAAATTTTAACTTCCAATCGTGATTTGTTATACAACTTTTTCACTAAAGTAAGGCATCATTGCAGACCAAGAAGAAGCGCACAAAGAAAACATATCAAACAGAATTCTGTAAGAATAACAGGAGATATACAAAGCTTTTCAACATCTAGGGACTCTATGCAGTTGGTATTCACCATTGCAAAAACAATAAGTTCAAAAGAAGTCTCTTTACCAGTAGGGCAATGGGAGTTAAGGCCGCCATTTGGAACCAAAATTTCCAAGCGACCTGGTATTGGTTTGAGAACCTTCTGAAGAAGCTGATGTCGCTCCTTCAAGCTTTGGTGAATAACACTGGTGTCTCCTACGTAAAGAATGTCAAAAGCAACATCTGGCCTCATTCATGTAAGGCAAACAGGAACAAATAGCTTCAGTGTCAGCAAACTTAAAACGCTTATGCATGCTGGTACATCTCACATCTAGAAAATATGCAGCATTGGAAATTGGATCTTGATTGGTACACAAAGAATCCAGGCACCAAAGAAGGATACAGCACAACTGCATTAGAAGAAAGCATAAATGAGACCATTGAGATGGATGTTTCTAGAATTACAACAAATGTTTTATATATTGTACAGAAAAAGACCTTTCGATCGCCATCAAGTCCCTCCTTCGCCGCCTTGGCTATAAGAAATAAGGGAACAGAAAAAGAATGACTTCTAATTTTTAGCTAATGTATGTTAAAGACTGTATAATGGCATGGAAAAGTAAGAAGTGATCACAGAACCTATTTCTTGATTTGAACCGAACTCTGCAAATCGATTCGTAGATGTGTCCCACACCAACATTTCACCATCAAGAATACACCTATAGAAAATCAGTGACTAGTTAAGTCATCTGAAGTACATCAATTCTCACCATGAAATGATTATAAAACTTCATTTGGACAGAGGTCCTACGCTTTGTCAACCCGGAGAGAGGGAGATAGAAAAAAGAAACAAATACTTGGATAAATTATATCAAGTATTCAGGCTCAGGATCCTACTGTCTCTTGCTCTTAACATTCATAAAAGATTGAACAATTGTACTCATGGTAATATGCCTTGGTTAATGGGATTCATCAACATAACTTTTTTGCAAGCCTTGCAGATTATTTTATTGGGAGTTATTTGGTAAATTTCCCAAAAATAAAAGAGCGTTACATTATTCAGTAAATGCAAATAACAAACAAACAAAGAACTTTTTGAGCATAACTACTTCGAAGATCTACAATTACAAAAGGCCAATGCTATTTGAATATAATTACAATCTGGATGCAGGTAAAAACAGTGAATCCCACAAGAAATCAAGGAAACGTTGCAGCATAGTGGCATGAAGTTGTAGGAACTTGAAATGAATAAATATATTTTTTACCTGTCAACCAGAATATTCTGTATAATAATATCTGACATGCCATGTCCATATTCTGAATGATCAAGAAAGTTCCTGCACGTGCAGGGAATGATAATCATACTCAAGCATTCATTAATATTATAAAAACTACATTACAAACTAACAGATTATCAATTAGAAGCAAAGGGAACATAATTGACATGAAGTTGTAGAAGCTCAACAACACCAAGCACTAAATGAATATAGAAAACAACAATATAATAAGCTTTTGTTTGAGCCCCATTCTCTAAAAATTCATTTTTTTTTTAAATTCATTTTCAACCAGATTCTTCAAATAAAATAATTTTATACATCAACCCCAAACTTTTTTCTACTTTTTAATCACACATTCTACAAATAATCACTACTATAAAACTCATTTTTACAAAAAAAAATGGGGCTTAAACAGAGCCTAAGTTAACTTGAACAGTCCTAAATTTTAAAACTAAAGCTAGTTTGATAAACAAAAAAATTATCAAGTTATTTGATTAAAAAACATATGATAAATTCACAAGTATAAAGTGGATAAAATTACCGCCAAAAACTAGTGTAAGGAAAGGTTCATTGTAGTATAGGAACTACCTCGAAAAGAAATGTATTTCAGTCCCATTTTTGTGAATTTGAATGCGATCACCATCAAATTTGCACTCGACAACAACTTCCTTGCCGTGAAGCTATTAGGGGGAGACAGAACCAAGATCAACAATTAATAGGCAAGCGATTTTGTGGACAGAAGAAGTGCATAGACTGATAAGTCCCCAAAAGTTAAAAATAAGTGATACAAATAAAATAACTGAAACTTTTGTTTCCATTTCCGAAGTTGTAAGAAAATCACTACACTTATCCTTCTCGTGAATCTAAACTGTGTGCATACCTTTTTCCATGCAGCTGTTGAATTACTGATCCTTAGAGCTAATTGAGGACGAACAGGTTTGCCAACTTCAATGTCCTAAAGAAAAAGGAAAAGCATTTAATTATATGTCGAATATGAAAGAAAAACTGTTGCCAAAGAATGTTGGTGGAAAGAAAGAAAACTACTTATCAATGAATCATCCAACCTGCACCGCACCTCCAAATCAACCACATTTGACCACTAGACTTACAACCATACCACCTCAACAAACACGCCCACATACTCACAAAATCATAGATTCACAAATGCCTTGACATGCAGACAGTCACAATTTCACACTCACCCAAACAGACAGAATCACAAATTCAATAGCACAAAATCTCAAATTCAGACACACATCTCATGCAGTGACGTAAACACCCGAAACCATAGAACCACAATTGTGAAAAAGGAAAAGGCATCACAAATGTATTTGGATGGGAGAAAGAGCGCAGAAGGTAGTGAGCGACAGTTTCTCTAATTCTCTGCTTAAGGGAAGGAGGAACTAGTTGAAGGTTACATTGATTCCATTTTTATTTTCATTTTTACTCTGGCATCTAAATGAATTGTCACTGCATTGAGTTGTTGGGTGTGCCGGTGTATTTGGTGTTACCAATTGCGGGGGTGTAGTTGGTTCAGTTAGATGGCAGCCGGAGGCCAATAGAGAACATGTGGTGTTTGTTTGGTTTTTCCTTTTTTCTTTCGTTTCTTTTTTCTGGGTGTCAAGGGAGAATGAATTAAGAGCAACATGTGGAAATGAAATATTGCAATTTTTAATCTCATGATTCAAGTTTAACAAACCAGCTAAACTTCTTTTTTTTGATAGGTAATCGTGTAAATTTTATAAATCGAAATAAAAGATAATACACAAGGAGTGCATTATCAAGTTAAACAAGATAGAAACGATAAAAAATTCGACAACCCTTCTATCGGACTAACGGTTGCAGCCAACCATCTAAACTAGATGAAGCTTTATCCCATAATGATTTGGAATTAGATTCATTTTCTTTTCCCCTTTCTTTTCATGGTGTAAAGGAAGAAAGAGTTAAGAGCAACATTTGCAAATCAAATATTGGAACTTTTAATCTCAAGTTTCATGTTTAACAAACCAGCTCAACTTGATAAAGCTTTATTCCGTAATTATTTGAAGTGATTACGTGGTATTTTTCCTCCACTCAATCAAGAGACATGTGCAAGGTTAAATAACAATGGTTCACATCCTTTACAATTACCTCTATCAATGTGATTTTAGGTCAGTCTCTTTGCCTATATTGACTAAAAATACTAGTCCGGTGCTTTTTTCTAACCATTACATCTAACCTTCGTTGAATGTGCCCAAGTCATTCAATCAATTCTAGTAAAATTTATCTTTAGTGGTTGCCATATTACTCATCTTAGAAATATATACCTTGTTTGAGCCCCATTTTGAGAGAAAAAATGCATTTTTGAATAGTAATTATTGGACAATGTGTAGTTAAAAATGAAGAAAAAAATTTCAATTTACATGTAATATTATTTTATTAAGGCCCTGTTTGGGAGGGATTAGATTTTTCTACAATAAATCAATTCTCATTTTCAACCACACATTCTTCAATAAAATAATATTTTCCATCACATCAATAATTTTTTCTTCTTTTTCAACCACACATTTCCCGTCATATCACTATTCAAAATCAATTCTTCCCCCAAAAATCTCTCCCAAACAAGCTCTAAAGAATGTGTGGTTGAAAATGAGTTTTGAAAAAATGATTTTTTGATAAAATGGGGCTCAAACAAGGTAATAGTCCATTTTTATTTTTTTTTATCTCTCATCATGTCAAATCCATTTAACATACATTCTCAATTAGTCCATGTTTGACAACCATTATTTCAAAACTCTTTATTCTACATACTCATTTTCAATTACACATTCACGCAATAAAATATTCTACACATAAACTCAAAACTTCTCTATTTTTTAGCCACACATCCTCTAAAAATTCACTATTCAAAACATTATTTTTTCCCAAATAATGGTCATCAAACATGGGTTTAAAATACACTACTATTCATACAACTCAACATTCAGTCCCATATGATATTGCAGGTCTCGTAGCAGAAGTATATATCCTTTAAACCAAGCAAGGTTTATTGTCCCAGTATTATACTAAAATAATTTTGGTTTTACATCACTTTGTCATTTTTTTAACTTTATCTTTCGCTTTCCATTTACGAACCCCCAGGCAAAGCCCATGGAATATGCTATCATAAAGAATTCCAGCAAACCAATCTCATTCAGGCCAGTAAAAGTGAAAACTGGTTATTGATAGACAAGTCGACTTCAATAAAATTACCAGGTAAGAAGCAAACAGTTAGGTCTGCTTCTCTGGTCAAGAAAAGCATGCCAGGCTTTCTTTTCTGTACCAATTTATCAAAGAAGAAAATGTAAAGTTTTTAAGTTGGATGGATCTGATTACAAAGCACCAACTCACAACTAAACTATTCCATTTGCTAAGGTCCAAAACGGGTTTGTATCTAATCAAACCGAAACGGTACTGTTCGCACTGGTCAAGTCTGCTGTTTTTATGGAGAACCAACCAGTCCTCTGAGAATAAACCAAACTGGTAAAATACCCAGACCGGTACCAATTCATCCAGTTTTTCCACAACTTAGCCAGACCATGCCTACCCTTCCTATTTATATCCAAAATTCCATTTATCATATTTAATATGCCAAACAATGTGACCAAGGAACCATCATAAGAAGCTCAGTATACCCATAGCTAGATTCTGCGAATTGGGAAATGACAACTGTGACTTGAATGAGATATACTGGCAGTCCTAAAAGTTAGATGCATGTCCAGATAAAAAGATGAAAAAGAAAAACAAGTGTGTTGAAGATAAGATTCAAATAATATCTATGTGACCTTATCTCATAACCTAAGAAGCACCGACACGGACACGAATGTCCGACACGATAAGTGTCGGATACGAGATTTTTTTAAAAAGTTCCGACACGATACGTCGCCGACACTTTGATTACAATTTTTTTTTAGGTTATTTTAATTTTATAGTTTAAAGTAATAATTTTTTATACTTATTAAATCATATATTAAAGGAGTTGAAATATATATATAGATATACCAACTTGTAGTATTTGTAATTGTTAGGGACTAAGTTGTAATTTTTCCCCTTTTCTAACCCTTGTATATAGTTTAGTAAAATATCAATAGAAATTAATTTTTTCCCCCAAATCTACTTGGTATCAGAGCCCGTAGTTCGAACCCACGCCGGCGCCGATTCCGACCTAGACGCTGGCGTCCGCCTGCTGCGTCGAGACCTCCGACAACCGCCTGCTGCCTCGCGACTGTCCTTGAGCTGCGTCTTCGTTGCTACTTGATTCCCGACATTTTGGCTGGCGACTGGCTACCAATTTCGACCTCTTGCTGTTCGATTTTTCCCTTACTTCGCTGTTGCCTTTCGTTGCCTCCATGTGAGACGGTCTTTGTGTGATTCTGTAGTTGTTTTTCCCCAAGGCTAAGGAAATTATAACCACCGACCCCGTCGAAGTCTTCAGCAAGTCATACTGTCTATTCTGCGTGAGCGTGAAAAATTGTTGACGGAGATTGGTGCTTCCTTCAAGGCTATTGAATTGGACCCTTCTAGTCGAGCTACCTTGTCTTTTTTGGGTTATTGATTTGAGCCCTGTCCAATCCACTTTTTGGTGCAAAACTCTGTGAAATCGAAAGGAAAGTGCTTATATCCATTCATAGCATTTTGATTCCATTGTTATTAATTGTCTTGGGACTTGCTTTGTATTTGTTTGATCAATTGAAGACTGTATTTAACTCCTCAAACTGCTTGTTCTGTCTTGCTCTACTTGGTGGAATTGGGACTACTTTGTTGTGGATATATCTTGTTACATTGGCAATCTATT